GCATCGTAGATTTACAGCTTTCCCCGTGGTTTGATTATCAGTCATTCGAGAGCGTGCCTGAGTACGTGGAGCGTGTGACCCATCAGATCGTTGACAGCGTAGAGAGTAGCTTGGGAATCAGTTCGTGGCATCGGCGTTTCCATCCAGATACACCGCTCCATCCTAATTACGCCGCCCTCGGTGGAGAGCTTCCACCCCTCATATTTGGCGTCGTTGAACCACCTCCAGAGGATCCTCCCGTCGAACCAGTTCAACCCGACGAAGGTTCAACTTTCTTTCGCCCAATTATTTTCGGAACTGCTATTGCTTGCATGTTGCTATCAATATTGTTATCAATCGTATCTGTGCTGTATTCAGCTTGATTAAGTGAGCGAGCGAATCTGTTGCTAAGTACTTTTACTTATCTAAGTATTACATTTTGAACTGTATTGAGAGGACGAATCATTACATTTATTTTCTGGATAATTTATAAAAGATTTGAACTTAGTACATTGCAACTTTGCTTAAAAACCATCAAAAGCTACACTTTATTCTTGAGCTTCCTGCCTAGATCGATCGCTGATTTGGCGAAGCATTGCTGTTGTTAATCTTCATACCTGCATCACATTGTTTCGCATCAGCTTTAACTCTAGTGTAGCGAGTCTAGCACTCTCTCATTAACTATAGCATGGATTTTCCCTATTTACATTCACATGTACATAATGAGTCACAAAGGTGTGTTATTAGTTAGCAGTTTCGCAGAAAACTACTCTTGAAACCCCACTCATTATCTTGTTATCTGAAATTCTGAATGACTTTTTTTTTTTTGCTTCAGGACTTACAAGGTTTAATGTCAGATTTTCACAGAAAGTTTTTTTAGAGTTAACAGAATTCAGGATATTTCTCCCTAATAAAGTTGACATGTCGACACGTGTTTGACAACAAGCACGTGCCCATCCATGTTATATAATACTTACAAATGTGTCCTGATTGATTTACATGCCTTTATTAGTTTATGACCTAGCATTCTTTCTATTAAAAAATAAATAGATAATAATAAAGCTCAGTTACAGGTTAAGATATCATGCTTTTGTGTGTGTGTGCATATGCACATGACTTCAAATATATTGGTTTCTCATTTCACTGCTACCCAAGGTTCTTATCAAATAACTTATTCTATCTTTAAAAAAAATGCATGCTGGGTTCTGAGTATGAAACACATATGCTTGTTGCTTTTATTGATTGCTCTCTAGATCAATAAATTATTACTTTCTGGAGGACAGAAGCATGCAACACACTAGTTTCATTGCTTAACATTGTGATGGACCATTACTTTTCTCTTCTAACAAACCCACACCATCCTTCCAAGCAGGTTTAGTGGCTTTTGCATTCTCCAAGTCCAAACTAGGAAACCAGATACTTAAACATTCCCCTACAATCGTGGCCTCTCCTTCAACAGTATTGAAGGAAATGATTATCGACTGTGATATAAACAGCCAATTTCTTCTTCTTAGTGCCTTCCACTTGTTAAAGATATAATTTGTAATTCTCTGCACTCTCAGCACTTGGCCGTATGCCACTACTGTCTTGTTGAAATTAATTCTGAGGGAGATTGTTGAAATTAATTTTTAGGGAGACCAGAGACTTTATCTAGAACTCTGTTGATCTCTTGTATTTATACTAAGAGCAAATAAACACATGTTACATATTATTAGGAATATGCTAAACATATTCTTAGCATATTCCTTTATTCTCTCAATCACATCCCTAATATCTCTCAACCATTTATTTCTACTATATTATTCCTAATATAATTGTAACATCATAAATCTCCATAATATATTCATTAACACTCCCCCTTAAGTTGGAGCACATATGATATACATGTCCAGCTTGTTACAAACAAGATGTAGTCACTCAAATTTGTGTCACGACTCAATAGAGGCTGAAATCTTCTATGTGATCTATCTCATCATAATTGCCTTCATCTTCTAGTCTTCTACTTGAATGTCTTCCAACACGAACAACTTCAACCAAAATCGCCATATGTGATACCTCGATCTTCTTCACAGATCGGCCAAACGAAACGATCCTCTTTAGGGAACTACAAATAAACGATCCTCACTAGGGACCCACCCACCAAACAAACGATCCTCTCTAGGGATCCATCAAACAAATAATCATTCTCAAGGATCCACCAAATAAATAAATGATCCTCCTCGGGATCTTACAAATGATCCTTATTTAGGGATCCGCCAATCAAATGATCCTTTCAAGGATCTAATAAACAAATGATCCTCCTTGGGATCTAACAAATGATCATTCTTTACAGATCCGCCAAGCAAATGATCCTTTTCAGAGATCAACTAAACAAATGATCCTCTTTAGGGATCAACCAAATAAACGATCCTCTTCATGGATCAACTAAACAAACGATCCTCTTTACGGATCAACAAAACAATCTCTATCCGTGGTCAAGGCTTCTAAAATATAAGTAGTGGTGGCGGTGGTGTCCACAAGTTGAGTAGGCGGTGAACGAAAGGAAATCAAGGCGTCATAGGTGGTGAGTGGGAACATATACATCAAGGATGGCTACTGCTAGTCGCAATCCTGATCATCAACAAGGCCATTGAAAGCACGACGAACAAGAATCTGTGGCACTGTTCACGGTGAACAGTTGCCGCAAACTGTTCGTGGTAACCAATCACAGGAAAGAAAGGAGATTGTAAGGCAGAGGGAGGAGTTTGATGGTGAGAGATTTGAGGGCTAGGGTTTGTGAGGATCTACGGTTTTGTGGAGGATAGAGTTTGCGTGACTTTGATACAATATTACAATTAATTCTGAGGAAGACTCTATCTAGAGCTCTAATCTCTTATATTTATACTAAGAACAAATAAACACATGTTACAAATTACTAAGAATATGCTAAATATATTCTTAACATATTCCTTTATTCTCTCAATCACATCTCTAATATCTTTCAACCACATATTCCTAATATAATTGTAACGTCATGGATCTCCATTATATATTCATTAATATGTCTTTGACACGTTTTGTATGAGTAAAAATGTCTTCTTAGATCTAACAAATTCATCCACTGGAACTTTGTTACAGTTCAAGCGCCTTGGGGGACTAGCCTTAAAAAAAAATCTATTGTCTGAGTTTACCTTTTCTGATCAAGTGATTATTTGACAAAGGAACCAGGAGATAGTAAAAATGGACAGGGATTCTCTAGAACTAATGGAACTAAAATAATGAGAATTGATGTGCTGTATGTCAATTGTGAACGTTGACTGTAATTTCTTTTCTATTTTTCCTTTAAAACAAGTTTCATTTTGGTAACTAGAACTGTGAACCGTGGCTTGTCTACATTGCTAAATTTAAACACTAAAGTGGATTAAGCAAGTGTTACTTCATATTTGAAACAGCTTTCTTCTTTTTGTGTCTTCCAATTGGCAGATACTAATGTAGGATTTAAATTTTGCTTTCTCTTGCAATCGTAAAAATTTAAAAATTTTCAGCAAATATTGCAGCAAGGAAAGATGAAAGTAATTTGCAGCTCTTATTTGAGAAACATAGTTTACATAGAAGTAGTTGAGTCCTGTAAGGCTTTATATCCTAGGCCTGTTTCCAACGCCCCACTCTCTCCCTCACTCTTTCAGCAGGTCAGTTCAGAATCTCATTTTAGTTATGAACCAAAAGTGGGCATGGGGATGCATTATGGTATTTCATCATCAAACAATCCAAAATTTATTCTCAATCAGTTCTCTCATTCTGTTGTAATTTATGAGTATGATCGTTATCATTGTCTTAACTCTCAACCTTCCCACTTACTGTATCATTTTCCCTCTCTCGTTGGGCATGTTAGGTCAGAGCGTCAGTTTCTGGAGAACCAAAAGTTGGTATTTGGATAGACTTAACGTATGGTAGTTAATCGAAGTATAACAAATTTTCTTCTAAATCTATTTTCTCCTTCTGTTGTAATTTATGAAGATGACTTCTATCATTGTCTCAAATTTAACTTCCTACCTTATTGACTGCACTATCACTTTGCACACCAATGACGTTCCTTTGTCCTTTTCGCAATCTTTTTTTTTCTTTGTAATATCGTCTTCCTTGTAGATTTCCTTTCATCATGCATCCTGTGCAGTGTAATGTTCCCCGCTGAGATATTGTACCTGTTTGCTGATGCTTAGAAAAATATATGCTGAAAAAGAAAGAAAAAAGTGAAGAAGTTAGGTATTTAATTTTCTTTTTGTGTTGGAAGAATCTGAACTTGAAACTTTACCTAAATCAACATGATTTCCTTTCTACAAATCATGTTTGGTATTTGTATTCTGTTACTTTTGTAATGCCATTGATCATTATCATTGTTTTCCTTTAACCATACATCTAGGAAAAGAGGTTTTCCCAGACCAGGCTAGTTTGGCTGCGAGGCAAACAAACCTTTTGTCTTTGTTATTCTCCTTTTAGCCGTTTTTGTAAAAATTTTCACTAGCCATGGTTTTGCATTTAGTTATCTTTATTCCATCGATCCAGAATATCCCATTCCCTATTAAGGAAATTCATTATTACCTCATATTGGATATGTAAAATTACATATGCAGGTATTGATGCAACTAAAAAGAAGCAAGGTCACAGAGGGGGGGGAAATCATGTTAAATCGATATGCACACTAATGAAAACTTCTAAGTGGATCCAAGTCACCCCTCTCGTAACTTCTGCATCTTTTCCTTGATCATTATCTTTGTCTCTTTTTCTTTCCTTTTTTTAGTTATCTAATTAGTACTATATTATTGTTATTATTGTTTCTGTCTTGTTGTCTGATGATGTCATTTATTGTTGTTCATTTGTCGTTCCTATATTAATATGTTTTCCTTGAGATTTTGATCTTTCATCTGTGACAAAACATCTTCCATGATATCTTTTGCTTTATCATTCACCTTGATAAGATTTTGTTGTACATAATTTTCTTCATAACTACAATATGTTTAATTATGTCATTTTTCACTTTCTAGTTTGGTGGTGGACGAACCATTCAACCTGGTGAAGTACTTGAAACAGTTGAAGATAAAACAGCTAAACAAAAGCGTACTAGAGAATTAATTGCAGCATACAAAAGAAAGATGGGCCTGAGCATCGATGCCAAAACAAAAGCTGAATGTGAGAAGGTACCAGGACAAAAACAACTCTTTTTGTTTTCGTGTCGTTAGTTTAATATTTGATGCAATATATTACTCTTTTAGGGGTAATGATCTAAATTACTAAAATCTTCTCTTATCGTTTTTCCTTTTTTTGGATGTACTTTCTTTTTTCTATTTCATGTTCTACCTTGGATTGTGTGTGTGTGTGTGTGTGTCAGTTCTTTTATATTTACTCAATTCCAGATGCATAACAAGCTCAAGGTCAACAAACTCTTGTTTATCAATAAGCCCAGTACCTTTGAATAGGGAGATATTTTATAAAGCATGCAAGAAGTGTATTAGTATGTGCTGATATTGGACAGAAATACTTGTGGTGAATGGTCTACTACGTAATGGTTTTGTTTCTGATTAGAAGATTATCATTTGAAACTGTTGCACAACCCGAACATTGACTTCTTAGCGTCAAATTATCCTTTTAAAAATCTCCTTACCAATTATACCAGAACCAATGTGACAGAAGGAACCTATGGACGCTTTCAATTATGAGGTACAGAAATTTTCTAGAAAATCTCAAAAACACTTAATTGATTCATACATATATAGGGATAGATAGTTTACCTTTTTCAATCCAAACCTTGAAGGTAACCTTGAAAAAATTATGACTAGTAATGGGGAGCTGACAAAATCGCAGTATACACCAAGATCTATGTTGCCTAGGTACGGGTACGGGTGCGGGTGCGGGTACGGGACACGGCAAATTTGTAAAAAGTAGGGTACGAGGACACGGCTATATATATATATATAAAATAATTCACTTTAGATCAATATTCCAAAAGTTAAAACTATATTCCTTGCATGAATTGTAAACTACTCATTTTTTTACTAGACATCTAAACAACTCATTAACTATATAGTTTTGAACTTGGGTATGGACTGAAACGAACCCGACCCGTATCCCATTAGTTTCAAAAGACAGATGTGAAGTGTAAGCTCTACGTCCAGGAAGTCTTTGACAAGTGTTTTAAATTAACACATATATCGTATAATTGAGTACATGTTGTAATAAATACATGCATATATTCAAGAAGTGTCCATGAAGTTTGGGTACGGGAAAGTGTCGGGTACGTGTCCGGTACGGGTACGGCTTCAATAATGAAGTACCCGGGTAACATAGACCAAGATGAACAAACAAAGGATAATATGAAAATAGGAACAGGAAGAAACAGCTACAAAAGAGACGAGAGTTGAGGCAGAGAGATGCTATCATCACACAGAAGGAACATGGAAACACCCATCAAATCCAGTAAATAAGGTCTTATTGGGGCTCAAAAACATGGTTCAATTTCACCTCTTGCTCTTAAATTGATGCATATTATCCTAGACAAACAATACATATTGATCTAGAAAGGAGTAGATTTTTGTTAACCATGTAGGAAAATAGTGTCATTTTTTATGCATTTGTTGCTTTGCAGTCAATTCTAATCCAAAATTAACCCCATAAAAGTCTGATCCCTGATGTTAGCACAAATATAAATGGAATTTTAATAATTGCTCAATTCCATGCTGAACTCTTGATTTAGCTTCTCATTAATAAGAGGAGCTTCGTCAGCAAATTCTTCATGAATCATCATTCAAAATCTAAGTTGCATGGGTATAGGTACTGGTATGGGTACGGATACGGGACATAACAATTTTGTAAAAGGTTAGGTATGGGAACACAACTATATATATGTATGTTATGCATATTTGTATGTTTCAAAATTAATAAATTATATAAGATCAATATTCTTCTTTCATTTACATAAGATAAGAAATAGATGTAAAGTGTAGAATATACGTCCCAAGAAATGTTGTTTTAAATTAAAACATGCATTATATAATTGAGCATACACCTGAATAAATGTATGTATATATTCAAGAAGTGTCCAATAAGTTTTGGTACGGGTATATGTTGAGGACCAGTATGACTTCCGATTAGAAGTACCCAAGTCACATAGTAAATTGTTTTGATTCAAGTTGGAGCAAGAAAACACACGCTCATAGTTTTTCTTGAAATCATGGGGAAAATCATGAGCATGGAACAACTAAAGGTATTATCGTGATGTTTCTTGAAGTTAGGGGGCAATCTGAAATTCCTTTTATTGTTCTAAGAAAAAAGAAAAATAGTTGTTTTGGGCATAATTCTCTCTCAAGATGCAAAAGGCTACAAGTGTCGAAAGAATTTTGTAGTTGAATAGAAAATTCACTTCAAATGCAAATTCATTTCTCAAATGGCGCATGTAATGATATCATCAAGGCGTTGTATTTCATGTAAGCCTTGAAACAAAAGATCATCATGCCAAAGGTTAAAATAAAAGAAAGATGTCCCAACTTGTTTCCATCCCCTTTTTCATTCAAACTTGCGAATACTGAAGTTTAAAATGCTATTAGGTTTACAATTCGAAAGTCAACAATACTCCTTAGGTGCATGAGTATAAATTACAGAATGCAGTACTTTCTGGGTGTGAGTATAAATTGCAACACACAATACTCCGTGGATGCACAAGTGAAAATTGCAACCTGCAAGGCTGCAACACTTCTACGGTGCATGACTACAAGCTACAAACACAGCCTTCTTAGGTACATAAAATCAAACTCTATGCTTATCATCACAAAATTTCCGTACTCTGGACTCAATGTCAAACAAACTTAAACTGAGAACGAAAATGAGAGATGAAATCCTGTGCTCATTGATCTCATGAGCCTAAATTGTGTTAGTGCCACATCAAAGGTCAAATCAAAAGGCATTCCTTGCATGAGTATAGACTGCAAACCTATATGTACTCTTAAGGGTACATGAGTATAAAGTGTAAACCCACACAAAAGAGAACTAGTAGAAGACGTGGATCTCTCAGAAAATTACGGGTAAAAGATGAGCTACTAATGTACCTGATGAAAACACGAACGGCCCAGGGGTAAAATTGCCAAAAATCTCGATTGCAGCATACCTCCATGGGAAAAAATAGAAACCCCTTGCTATGAAAATCCCAATAAACCTAGACAAAACCACATAAGGGAACTGGCTACGGAGAAAATCCTAAAAAAGTGAGGGCATTTGGTAAGAAATTTTGAAAACCATCGTCAAATGACAAGGCCTCTCGTGGTATCATTGTACCGGTATTTTAGTGCAGCAGACTACTATTGACTTAAAAACCATAATCTCGCAAAACCCACAAAACCCACAAAAGCCTATGAAGATTTCGCTGCTAGTGTAGAAAAATACTTCAGTAAAGCGACAACAGAGGGCGCAAATAAATTTTTTAAATTAAAATCCTTCATCGTCAAATGATAAGGCTGCTCATGTTATCATTAGAACGGTACTTCAATGCATCATACTACTGATGACTTCAAAGACAATCTTCCTAAGCTCTATGATAAGTTCGTTGCTTGTATTTTTAAAAAAAGATATTTCAGCGTGGCGATAGCTGAGAGTTCAAATAAAGTTCCTAGCCAAAAATGCTCATTGTCTCCTTATGAGGCTCGCTCATAGTATTAATTTTTTACTAGTATTAATTTTTGATTATTCAGTGTAGGAGTTATTGAAGGCTTTTAAAATTTTAGTTGTTTTCTCACGAAGAGACTCGTCAGTAATATGATATTTTGATTCTTAAATCCAACAAGAGCTAACAAACTCAATCAAAAGGAACTTTTTTACTCCTCTGTAGCTAGGTCTAAAATACAAGCAATTTTAATTTTAAATAAACTTTCATAGTCCAGACACATAAATTTAAAAGCAAAACCTATATTCCATCAAAGTCAATAGTAGTTAATATGTGTTACTATATAAACAAAAGAATACATCTTGCTAACTGGAAACTACCTTAATGAGGAGAAAGGGAAGGAATCCAAACAACTAAGTATGATGATGGAGTTTAACTTATCCTTGATCTTGTCGTTCAAAGCTTCAAAGCAGTTGTAATCCTTTCTTCTTGAGATAATTTTTTATCAGTATGTTTCTTTGTTTTAACCAGTTCTTGATCAAGCATCAATTCTTTGTCATGAAGAACGATAACCTATGTTACCTGGGTACTTTAATCATGAAGTCATACCCGTACCGAACACGTACCCGACACTTATCTGTACCCAAACTTCATGGACACTCCTTGGATGTTTGCATACATTTACCCAAACATGTACTCAATTATACGATATATGTTTTAACTTAAAATACTTGTCATACACTTCTTGGACTTGTATCCTAAATATGTCCATTTTCTAAAACTCATTAGACATGGGTCCAGTTGTTTCAGACTATATTCAAGTTAAACTATGATTGAAAAGGATAGTTTGAGCATCTAGTTAAAAAACGAGTAGTTTTCAATTTATAATAATGAACATGATAAAAAATAAAAGAAACTTAAAAATATGATAGGAAATTAATTTTAAATAGCACATGAATTGAAAAATAATAACGATCTCATGTAAATTATTAATTTTGATATATGTGTATGTGTGTACCAGTGTCCCCGTACCTTGCATTTCACAAATTTGCAGTGCCCTGTACCCGTACCCGCACCCGTATTGGTACACGTATCTGTTTCCATGTAACTTAGATGATAACAGTTTCTTGTTTTAAGTTTAGCTCCTCTTGCTCAAAGGATAATTGTTTTCCCATTCAATGACATGAATCTACAATTTGCAAATTTATTCTTGATCATGATCTTTCTCCTTCACAAGCTTGTCAATTCTATGGGTTTGATTTAATACTTAATTTTCAAGGGCTTCTTTTCCTTTTGAATGAGCATACATCACAACTACCCTTTCATGACTCACGAGATTCACAACATTGCTTTATGTTGTAGTGTCCTTCTAAACCACAGGATCTGCAACATTCACAACTTCTAAAACAACAGCATTTACATTGCACGTGTCCTTTGATGTACTGAGATTACCTAAAAAGGGAATATTCACAATACACACAAGCACGAAGGGTAAGAAGCTACTTAATGCAGTCATGTACATATATAAACCTGAGCCAACAACATTAA